TACAAATTTTTCAAGAAGAACGTGTAGAAAAAATATTAGTACACACAGAAATTAAATATTATAGTTAAAAAGAGAAAACGAGTAAAAACAATGAATATCTTTCTTAATTAAATATATAAAAAAAAAGAAAGAAAGAACGAATGCAGTTATTTATCTAAAGAGAATAAATTCAGTAAATGAACAGAAACAGAATAGTCGATGAAAATTCTTACCTTTTATATATTTATTTACGAGATCGTGAGCGTGATCGTCGATCTTTTGATCGGGATGAACTTTTCGATTGTGAATGACTATTGGAATAAGATCGATCAGAATGTGATCGTCTACGAACACTAAATATATTTTTCTTTTCTTTCTTCAATAGAAAAAACCTAAACTTCTTACCGTTTACTATGTCGTGATGATCGTTTATGTCGTTGTTGTCTAGGACTACGACTTCGTGATTCAGGCCTATAATTTAAATTAATTATACTTATTCTTATTTAATATTTATTTAAAGAAAAAAAAAGAAAAACTTAGGATAATTAAATAATAAAAACCTACTTTATGTGATGAAATTCGATTTCTTTTATTTGTATTTGTAGAAAAAGATAGTCTTTTTGATTTACGATATCGTTGATCGTATTCACATCTTTCGACTTGATATAAAAGAAATCAAATGAATAAATCGAGAATCTTCTGATTTTGATCCGATTCTAACTTCCAATCGAACAATATATGAAATATGTTGATGAACATCTATCGAACTTCTTTTTTTTCCTCTTTGATCATCTCCATCAATGAATGTTTTTTTTCGCTTTTCGATCTAGTAGGAGTAGTAGTGGAAATGCATCGTACAATATCAATCGCTCGCTCGTATCAATGTCTCTTTTCGTTAACATGTATGTGAACTAAAAACAGATATTTTCTTCATGGTTTTTTGTTTCTTTTTGTTTAGATTTACAAATCATTAGATTTAAACAAAAAGAAAACGATAAAATTCCATTTAAATATACATACATATTACAATGAGATTTTTAACCTACCTTGAACGTCGTTGACGTCTTAAACGAATTTCACAATCGTATGCATAATGACCACGATCTATTGAAATAAAATAAAAATAAAAAGTTCTGACATAACATTGATAGTTCTAGTTTAATTCATTATAATTTGATTTTACTCTTCAAATATCGATTCTTCTCAAGAGTCTGTCGAATAAAATCTCTAAGAGAAAATTTTGAATATAATGAACTTGAACATTCTTCAAGGATATCGAATAGAGTATGCTTTTAAACTATTTATTTTTATAAATTGAAACTATTCGAAACTGAACATATGACTATCTATCTTCAAAAATAATATTGACTATATTATGAAACTTACTTCCACATTCATAACAAACATCATGTGGACTAAAACGTCTTCTTGATTGTGGTGATCTACTACGTGATCTTTTACGAGTTGTTCGTCCTTCTCGTTTTGATCGACCACGACCATGTGAAAATTCAACACGAATACGTGTACCACAAAGCATTCTAATATATATACATGGAACTACAATAATTTCTTTTTAATTTATTCTACATACTTTCCATCAAGACCTTTGACAGCATCAGCTGCATCACGTTGATCTTCAAAATCAATAAAACCTATTTGAAAATATACTTATGAATTTATTCTATGAATATTTTTCTTATTACATACCATATCCCCATGGATTACTTGAGAGCCTAATAGAAAATATAAATAATATATTTTGAAAAATTCATATAAATTCTTACCAAACATTTTTCAATGTTCCATAATAACTAAATGCTTTTTCAACTTCTTCTACTGATACATTACGTGATAAATCTCCTAGAAAAACCTAGATTATAACATAAAAAATTTTACAAAATATTTTAATTCAATCTTATTTTACTATACCGTAACTGGACCATCACGATCAGGAGACATATTTTCTTCTTCTTTTTTTTTTTTTAAATAATATAATCTATAAAATATACATTTATCAGAAAAGAAATATTTCTTAATCTTAAAAATGCATTCGATTGTGTCAGGGTT